ACAGTACCTGAATTATTCACTTGTACAAAATCAGTCCTTTCATGGCTGAACACTATGCAAACAGTGGAGGTTAATTGTCAGGGAAATTTTACAATAATATTCACTGAGAATGTCAGTCACAGGTTTGCCGGAATAATATATATCTTAATACAGACTGTAGGGCATTAATGTAGCAAGACCATGTTTGTCTGCCTACCAACAATTCAACAGTCTTGGTACAGCTGTCTTCCGCTTCCTCCGACACCATGAAGGCTTTCATTTTACTTAGTCCACAGTCAACACTCGTGGAAGCGGAAGTGAAAAAATCAAATGACATATTTCACTGGGTAAATCTGCACAAGATCTGTTTAAAATGTTGAAGAGCAAAGATGTCACTGAGGACTAAGGTTCACTTGACCCAAACCATACGATCAATCACATCAAATACCTGTGAAAGCAGGACAATGAATAAGGAAGACACACTGAAACTAGGAGAGGCTAGTTGCTGGAGAAAGACATCATGCTTGGAAAAATAGAGGGAGATCTTCAGTGCTGCAGCAGTGGCTCAAACGTAACGATTATGAGGATAGAGCAGGGCCAGGCAGGTTTCTTTGTTGTATATCGGATCGTTATGAGGCAGAGCCTATGCGATGGCACCTAACAACAACATGTTGGGGGAGGGAATTCAAGCAAGGAATGTTTTCCTTTGCCTTTACATATGTTTATGATAATTGTTAGCTGCCATAAGAAGCACATATTACTGTTGTCGTCTGCAAAAGCATCACCTAGAAAACGATTTAAGAAGAAATGATGCTGTCGTCAGTGGTGTGTTAGTCTGGGTAGGCTAGAGAAACAAATCCACGAACACGTGTATAAGAAAGAGATTTATATACAAGAGCAATTGAACACTGAAAAAACATCCCAACCCAGTTCCGTCCAAGGTCATAAGCCTGATATTAGCACATATGTCTGATACCAATGTATAAAGTCCTCTTCAGACTCACAAAACACATGCAATGAAGCCAAATGCAGGACGATCACCAGCCAGTGGGTAGAAAGTCTTTGGGTCCAGTGGTGTCGTAAGCATCTCAATGCTGGCAGGGGTCACTCTGTGGCTTCTCCAGCCTCCGAGATCTGGTTGCGTCCATGTTGCTTATCTTCTGCAATGTCTCGCAGGGAGTAGCAGAGAGAGAGAAGTGTCTTTCGCCTCCAAGGAGGAAGAACCAGAATTCTCAGGAGAAGGCCATGCCCACACAGAAGTCTCATTGGCTGTCTCCAGATTGACAGCCTAGACTCCACTCCTCCACTCTTAATCCTTAAATTGACACCAGATTAGGTGACTACCACAAGTGGGAACATTTTAGGATAGTTATTTTCTGATGAAAACATTGAAGAGCAGAAATGCAGACCATATAGTGATTTAGTGGTTGTATTAGGCCAGGTTGTCTAGAGAAACAAATACAGTGACACTAATCACCATATAAGAAAAAGTATTATATCAAGAAGTAATTATACGAGTCCAACTCTAGTGCATAAGTCCGATACTGTCCCTAAGTCCCTCTTCAGACTCATGGAGCCATATGCAGTGATACCACGTGCAGGAAGACCACAGGCAGGTTGGTGCAGTCATGTGGCTCCAAGGTCTGTGGTGTCTTGGCGGCCCTCAGCATCAGTGGCAGTACCGGCAAGCAGGAAGGCAAAGGGACAGAGAGCGAGCAGTTCCCAGGATTTCATATTCTTAGACCAAAAGGCTTAGACCATCAAGGAGGTGCCGTCAAGCTGTGACCTGATAGACAGGTTTGACTTCACCCATAGCCAGGAATGTCTAGTTGACACGAAATCATTCAACGACTACAGTGTGCTGGAGAAGGGCTATCCAGGTTCCACTGAGATTTAGCTGTGTGATATTGGGCAAATGCAGGAAATGCTTTTTGTGATACTGCCTGCTACTTGTGTTACCACCCTTTAACTTATTACCACTTAATACAATGTCAATGAATAGTAGCCTCTCAATAAGTAGCTTAGTCATTACTTAGGGCCAGACAGCTAATAATTATTAGATTGGAGATTTGAATTTAAGACTTAACTGTCTTCCAAGAGAAAAAGGGCAATGGATAGCTTTAAATTAGCCTCTTGAAATTAAAATGATTTCCAAAATGTTTATTTGTACTGCTCCTATTAATATATGAAAGTGGCCACTTGTATAAGGTGACCAGATTTTAACATTGGTAAAGCAGGACACCATTGATAAAACTCATATCCTGGCGAAATAGCCACATGGTAGCCGAAAACCGTATACCCTATCTTGTCATACATTCTTTCAAAAAATCGGGACTGTCCCGCCAAAAGTGGGACGTCTGGTCACCTTACACTTGTACCTTTGCCAGCACTATGTGCTGTCCTTAAATTAGAAAACAAGAACAAAACTCAATTTGACAGGCCCAAAACATGTTTTATTTTATTTTAAATATAAATCTTTTGTGATCTATAACGAGTTTAAATATTATTCTAGGTATTGTTTGTTGCTGTTTGCCAGTTCTAACAGCAACCCATGAAACTGCTGCCTGGCGTTTTCAAGGCTCTGACCTTACAGAGCAGAAGGCAAGGCCTTTCCTTGGATGGGTTTGAACTGCCAGCCTTTCAAATAGCTGAATCCTTAGCTGTTCAGACCACCCACTCACCCCTTGTTCTGGTTCAGTTCATGTAAATTCTAATAACATTTCTTAATTAACATTCAATATCACATTTTTGTGGTGGCAATTGGAATGGGCAAAGTGAAAAGACATGAAAAACAGTTAAGAAGTAGATCAATTGGCCCTGTTAATTGATTCTTGATTCTTTTTAATCATTCACTAAATCCAAAGTTTCTCAGGTATTTGGCTTGCATAACTGAATGATGGTTAGCCATTAAATATCAGAAATTCTATTCATGTCTTTGTTCCATTATTTGTTGATAATTTGTATTTTCACATATTTAATTGATTTGATTTATTAAATATTGTTGAGCTGAATATACTCATTTTATATTTCCAAGTGTTTTTAGGTATCAGGGCTACTTAAATACTTCAGGGAAATTAAAAACAGAAAAAAACTAAAACCTAAATGCTGTAATTTAACTTTTGACCACTAGGTGTCATCATTTAAGTGTTTTGTCAAAAGATAGCTAATGTATTTTTTTTTCCGTTTTAAACTTTTTATTATGAATTAGATGAAGATTTACAGAGCAGAGCATACATAAATTTTACATTCAAAAAGTAATCCACACATTGTTTAACTCATCCATTGCAATCCCCTCAATATTCTATCTCTTATTCTACTTTTCCCCACTATTTCTGTTCTTTTCTTTCCTAACCCTCTGAATTTTGTCCTTGCGTAGATGCTGTACCTCTGATCATGTGTGGTAGATAATTCCATCACAGGGTCCATTCCCAACCTGAAAAGTGACTGACATCGTCTTTGGGAGTCCACCTGTCTCTATCCCCGCAGTGAGCCTGGTCTCCTAAGATTTTGAGTTTTTTCCATGTATTTCTCCCAGTGTAGCCAAGATCTTCTAATGTGATCCTTTTTGGAGCAGGGGGTTGTGGTAGCTGTGCACCACTTAGTTCTTAGGGTCTCATAGTTGTGGAGACTAGTTTTTCCAAGATCCTTTGCATTTAGTGCACTGGACTAATTGTTTCTGCATGTCTTTTGTTTTGCCGTATCTTTCATTCTTCCAGACAGACAAAGACTGATGATTGCATCTTAAATGTCTAATAATAAGCTTTTAAGACCCTATTTGCCCTTCATCCAAAAGGGATGTACAACATTATCTTTGTGAACTATGTTGTACTAATAAATCCTTGTCTCCCTTGAGACTGGTCCTGGTCCCCCAGGTATGCTCCACCACATTCATGGGTGCTTTTATAGCAAAGATAAATGTACATTTACAAATATTCATTGTCAGATCTATGTATATTCATGGGTATACTCATACTGCACTTTTTACACTTGGGTGAATGTCTGTCTAGGTATCTACTCGTGGCTCAACGCTATTGTGGGTTGGTGTATACAATAGCAGTTTTGCCTCTGTTATCTTTACCTCCTGTAAACCTCCCAATGCCTTGACCTGTTTCCCCCGTCTTGCACCTACCTCCTGTGGGAAACCGAAAAGTTATTCCCCAGGTTGTCCCCCCATAATAATGCCAAACCTAAGGTGCTGACAACTGTACACTTGGAGGTTCTCTGCCTGAAGGTTATCAGTGATCTAGAGCAATCAGACCTTATAGTTTGTCCCACCCATAAGTAGAGCCCACTCCCTCTGATAAGGACAATGGATTGTTCCCTGAAGGAGAGCCCAAAGACACCTAAGGTGAAGCCAACTCAGGGACAACCAAGGTGCCATCTTGACTCTAGCGCCGGCCCATCTTGTTACATGTATGCTTTCCTGACACATGGATGCCTGTAGGCCCGCTTCCTATTGCATGTATGCCCCTAAATCATCCCCCTCCTGTCACGCATATGCCCACCTCTTCCTATTACGTATGTGGTTACCTGTAATTAAGGGGGCTTCCACACCCCTAGAGTGTATATAAGCCTTGGTGGGAATTATATTCTTTTTCTTTCACGGATTTGGCTCCTGAAGTCATGGTGGTCCCGGAGGTGAGCATTCGCATGCTTTATCTTATCTGATGTCCCTTTAATTTTGTGCCTCAAGTATACAACCGCCCCTTGGACCCATTTGATTGTGGGGGCTGGTACCCCACAATCTCCTTGTGGTTGAATGCTGTCTTCTCCTTTGCTCCAGTTAAAAGCTGTCCACCCTCCAGCGTGTGACTGCCCTTCCCCTCAATCCCCTCCCACCAGATCCCGTTTTGTTCGTAGTTTCTTCAACTTTTTATTCATGAAAAACTGCTTCAGTCTTTAAATCTGTTCATAGAAACAACATAAAGCGGATATTTTACATTTTTTAAAAATGTTTCAGGAGAAATTATTTGCACTCAGTTGTTGATATATATTTTTTAATCATTTTATTGGGCCCCATACAGCTCTTATCACAATCCATACATATATCCATTGTGTCGAGCACTTTTGTACATTTGTTGCCATCATCAGGTATCAGGCATCAAAGACCCAGAACAAAAAATCATATTGATCTGAATGAGGGGGAGTGCAGAGTGGGGACCCAAAGCCCAGCTGGAGACAATTTAACATCCCATTATAGAAGGGTCACAAGGAAGAGACGAGCTAGTGGGGGGGGGGGCAGTATAACACTGATAAAACATACAACTTTCGTCTAGTTCTTTAATGCTCTTCCCCCCTCGCCCTCCCCCCACATCATGATCCTAATTCTACCCTACAAATCCAGCTAGACCAGAGCACGTACACTGGTAAAGACAAGAGCTCCCAACACAGGGAGTCTAGGACAGATAAACTCCTCAGGACCAATCCTGAGAGTAGTGATACCAGGAAGGTCAGGGAAAGGTGGGGGGTGAAAGGGGAACCGATCACAATGACCTACATATAACCTCCTCCCTGGGGGACGGACAAGAGAAAAGTGGGTGAAGGGAGACATTGGTCAGTGTAAGACATGAAAAATCAATAACAATTTATAAATTATCAAGGGGGAAGGAGGGGAAAAATGAGGAACTGATACCAAGGGCTCAAGTGGATATTTTTTAAATGTGTACAAGGTCCTTAAAATCAAACCAAATGTCGATGTATGTGGAAGAAGATAAAAGCACTACTTGCATTTCTTGCACTTTCTGTAATTTGGGGAAGTAAGGACACTTTTATTTTGTTACTTAAGTGTTATCTTTCTCTTTATTTTTGCGTTTTTCCTGAAGGGTTTTGGGACTGGAGTTAAACAAGGACCGAGATGTTGAAAGGATCCATGACAGTGGAGTTAATACCCTTGACATTGAACGTGTTGATGGAAGATAGTAAGTCTCTTCTAACTTTTCCTTCTAAGTGAGACACTGGAAGATCTTGCTTCTCCCGATCTTTTTAATGCAGTATTATTTCAAGTGCGGAACATCATATTTACAAAATACAGCCAATGCATCGGAGCCATGGAGGCAGAGTGGGTGAAACATTGGGATGCTAACCGAAAGGATAGCAGTGTAAAGCCACCTACCATTCACAGGGAGCAAAGGCTCCGGTAAGATCTGCAGCCTCAGAAACCCTGTATGGCTACCTCTCCTCTGCCCTACAGAGATTCGTGATTCAGAATGGACTCAGTGCCCACGGGTTTTGAGTTAGGTTTTATTGTCAATATCTTCAGTGAACACTGAAAGTTGACTGAAAGTCAAGAAACACTTAAGCAGAACTTTTGAAATTTCTAGTGTATGTCTTTCAGTGCTCTTTATTTTAATTATTTTTTGACTCATGTTTTTGTTTTTTTTTAACATTTTATTAGGGGCTCATACAACTGTTATCCCAATCCATACACACATCAATTGTGCAAAGCGCATTTGTACATCATTTCTCAAAACATTTTCTCTCCACTGAAACCCCCGACATCAGGTCCTCATTGACTCATGTTTCATTGAGTTTGGGAGGAATCAACATAGTAAGTTAAGCGTCTCGTTTTATAGTTTCAACAAACATTGTTCCGCGATCGTTTCCCTGATTATAATGCATCAGCATTCTTTTTGTGTTGTTCCATTTCTAGTCCTTGATACACATATCAAAGTAAAACCCCTCCCCACCCAATCTACCAGTCCCGAACTCCAGCTCCTGGCAGCTCTGACCCTGTTAGTACCCAGAGCCTCTGGGTTTGCAAACTGTGGAGAAGAATGTGAATTGCTTTAGTGCGAGGTGGAGTATTTCGTATACTCAAATGCCCATTGGATTTAAGTTGCTTAGGGTTTTATTAAGGCTCTCAATGCCCTTAGTGATGATATTTCTAGATACTCTGTTTATAATTAAAAGGGAGGTTTGGAAGTCCCCTACTGATACTGCAGAGTTGCCTGTTTATACTTTCTTATTAGTCAATATTTGTTTCATGTATTGTAGCGCATTATTGATATTATGTCTTCTAGGGTTATATGGGTTATAATAACCCTGTTATTATCTAAGCAGTTTGAAACTACCAGCTGCTTCTCGAGAGAAAGATGAGGCATTCTACTCCCTTCAAGAGTGACAGTCTGGGAAACCCACAGGGGCAGCTCTGCCCTGTCCATAGTGTCGCTGTAAGGTGGCATCAACTTGAAGGCATTGAGAAGTAGTAGTAATATCCTTCTCTCTCTTGTAAGAGACTTTGATTTAAAGTTTGGGGTCTTTTTTCTTCTGATATCCGTATGGCCACCTTGCTCTTATGTACTGAACTCATGGAATCATGCCATTCTTTCCTTTTCAGTCCACTTGCAGCCTGTGCAAAGGTATTTCTTACAGACAAAAGAACAGGCTGTGATTTTTCTCCCGCTTGCCACTCTCTGCCTTTGGTGCGACATGTTTAAACCGTTCCCACTAAAAGTGATTACTGAAACCCAACTGTCCACCCTACCTCAAGCCTTTTGGTATTTGTATCTTCTTTGTTTTCTTATTCTGCTTTTTCTGTTTGTTTGTATTTGGCTGCTTTCTTGTGGTGAAGCCTATTGCTTCTTTTGAATGTTTGTTCTTGGTGGTTCCTACGTGCATTACAACTTTTAGCATAAGATCAGTTGACGTACGACCTTAACCTCAGCATTCCATTTTTACTTGCTCCTCGCTCCCTCTTTTCTGTTGATATTCATTCCATTTACTTTGTACTTGTTCCTTACAAACGTGATTTTGTTTTGATTGCAGGATTTAGTGTTAGAGTATATTCCCTGGAAATATCATATATTTGGTTTTTAATGATTGTCCCCATTGTGCTTTTTGGTAAGAGCCCCCTTGCCCTTTGTATAGATTCGAGTATTTATGTAATGTCCTTGCCTTTCCATTTGGAGTACTGCCTGGAACAATACTTGCACCGCTGGTCTGCCAAAACCAGAACAGACTGCTGCATCGAGTCAATTCTGAGTCATTGGGAATCTCTATATGTATACACGAGGGGGTACCCCCAAAAAACAAAATTTTGTTTTACAAAGCTATGTATTTAAATTTTTTTTACAAAACAACCGTATCACCTTCAAAGTACTCTCCATTACACTTAATACATTTATCAAACCTGCGATTCTGTTCTTGGAAACAGTTTTCAAACTCATCTGTTTAGATGGCTGACAGCACCTCCCTCATTTTTTCTCTTCACCTCCTCTACATCGTCAATTTCTTGTCTTTTCATGCCCTTCTTTTCTCATGGAAACAAGAAGTCCTATGGAGTGAGGTCAGGTGAGTAAGTGCATGGGCCAAGA